AGCTTGCACTCCGAATCAGTACATATGCAATAACAGTAACTCTGAATGTTTGGACCCACTCTACGTCTGCGATGGACAAACTGACTGTAGCGATGGATCTGATGAAAGCAACTGTGAAAGAGGTTTGTTTACTGAATTACTCTATTAACTGCCATTAGATAACCTAAACATGGATGTATTTTATATCTGTCAATTTACATTCCATAAAGTAACGTGTACAGCGGCTAGGGCAAATTCAGCACAAATTCATAATTGTCAAAGTATAAAACTGTCACCAATATTTAACCTTTTATCGTTGTCATCCCAGAGTGTTCCGACAGTGAGTTCCGCTGTGCCGATAAGAAGCACTGCATCCTTGGACATCTTTACTGTGATGGGGAGCCCAACTGTGCAGACCAGAGTGATGAGACTCCAAACTGCCAATGCCGCTCAGACCAAATACGTTGTGGCAATGGAACCTGCCTTGGAATAGTGTTCGTGTGTGATGGAGTCAACGACTGTGGAGACTATGCAGATGAAAGAAACTGCAGTGAGTTGAAGCATGGGATGTATACTTTAAGTTAAGAATTCCATATCTCAATGAAAATATCGGTATCATTTATAGGAAGGTTTTAATTGTCATTTTGTTTTTGCAGCTTGCACTCCGAATCAGTACAAATGCAATAACAGTAACACCGAATGTTTGGACCTGATCTACGTCTGCGATGGAGAAACTGACTGTAGCGATGGATCTGACGAAAGCGACTGTGAAAGAGGTTTGTTTAGAGAATAACTGTATTAACTGCCATTCGATAACTTAAACATGGATGCATTTTATCTACAAATCTGTCAATTTACATTCCATAAAGTAACTTGGACAGCGGCTCGGCCAAATTAAGTAAAAATTCATAATTGTCAAAGTATAAAATGTCACGAATATTTAAACTTTCATCGTTGTCATCCCAGAGTGTTCCGACAGTCAGTTTCGCTGTGCCGATAAGAAGCATTGCATCCCTGGACGTCTTTACTGTGATGGGGAGCCGGACTGTGCAGACCAGAGTGATGAGACTCCAAACTGCCAATGCCGCTCAGACCAAATCCGATGTGGCAATGGAAGCTGCCTTGGAATAGTGTTCGTGTGTGATGGAGTCAACGACTGTGGAGACTATTCGGACGAAAGCAACTGCAGTGAGTTAAAACATGGGACGTATACTTTAAATTAAGAATTCCATATCTCAATGAAAACATCAGTATCATTTATAGCGAGGTTTTAATTGACATTTGTTTTGCAGCTTGCACTCCGAATCAGTACAAATGCAATAACAGTAACTCCGAATGTTTGGACCCACTCTACGTCTGCGATGGACAAACTGACTGTAGCGATGGATCTGATGAAAGCAACTGTGAAAGAGGTTTGTTTACTGAATTACTCTATTAACTGCCATTAGATAACCTAAACATGGATGTATTTTATATCTGTCAATTTACATTCCATAAAGTAACGTGTACAGCGGCTAGGGCAAATTCAGCACAAATTCATAATTGTCAAAGTATAAAACTGTCACCAATATTTAACCTTTTATCGTTGTCATCCCAGAGTGTTCCGACAGTGAGTTCCGCTGTGCCGATAAGAAGCACTGCATCCTTGGACATCTTTACTGTGATGGGGAGCCCAACTGTGCAGACCAGAGTGATGAGACTCCAAACTGCCAATGCCGCTCAGACCAAATACGTTGTGGCAATGGAACCTGCCTTGGAATAGTGTTCGTGTGTGATGGAGTCAACGACTGTGGAGACTATGCAGATGAAAGAAACTGCAGTGAGTTGAAGCATGGGATGTATACTTTAAGTTAAGAATTCCATATCTCAATGAAAATATCGGTATCATTTATAGGAAGGTTTTAATTGTCATTTTGTTTTTGCAGCTTGCACTCCGAATCAGTACAAATGCAATAACAGTAACACCGAATGTTTGGACCTGATCTACGTCTGCGATGGAGAAACTGACTGTAGCGATGGATCTGACGAAAGCGACTGTGAAAGAGGTTTGTTTAGAGAATAACTGTATTAACTGCCATTCGATAACTTAAACATGGATGCATTTTATCTACAAATCTGTCAATTTACATTCCATAAAGTAACTTGGACAGCGGCTCGGCCAAATTAAGTAAAAATTCATAATTGTCAAAGTATAAAATGTCACGAATATTTAAACTTTCATCGTTGTCATCCCAGAGTGTTCCGACAGTCAGTTTCGCTGTGCCGATAAGAAGCATTGCATCCCTGGACGTCTTTACTGTGATGGGGAGCCGGACTGTGCAGACCAGAGTGATGAGACTCCAAACTGCCAATGCCGCTCAGACCAAATCAGTTGTGGCAATGGAAGCTGCCTTGGAATAGTGTTCGTGTGTGATGGAGTCAACGACTGTGGAGACTATTCTGACGAAAGCAACTGCAGTGAGTTAAAACATGGAATGTATACTTTTAAATATGAAAGCTATTTCTCAATGTAAAATCTGTATCATTTATTGGAAGATTTTAATTGATTTTGTGTGTTTGCAGCGTGCAATGCGAACCAGTACAAATGCAATAACAGTAACACCGAATGTTTGGACCCACTCTACGTCTGCGATGGACAAACTGACTGTAGCGATGGATCTGATGAAAGCAACTGTGAAAGAGGTTTGTTTACTGAATTACTCTGTTAACTGCCATTAGATAACCTAAACATGGATGCATTTTATATCTGTCAATTTATATTCTTAGGTTTTTTCGGTAAAGTCACGTAGGTAAAAACATTAAAAAGTAAAATGAAATAAAAATCACGACGTTTCGGAGGCAACACAAGCTTCCGTCTTCAGGTGTTGCCTCCGAAACGTCGTGATTTTTATTTTATTTTACTTTTTAATGTTTTTACCTACGTGACTTTACTGAAAAAACCTAAGAATATGAATCATTGCAGTCACGAAAGCTTCAAGGATCTGTCAATTTACATTCCATAAAGTAACGTGTACAGCGGCTAGGGCAAATTCAGCACAAATTCATAATTGTCAAAGTATAAATATCACCAATATTTAACCTTTTATCGTTGTCATCCCAGAGTGTTCCGACAGTGAGTTCCGCTGTGCCGATAAGAAGCACTGCATCCTTGGACATCTTTACTGTGATGGGGAGCCCAACTGTGCAGACCAGAGTGATGAGACTCCAAACTGCCAATGCCGCTCAGACCAAATACGTTGTGGCAATGGAACCTGCCTTGGAATAGTGTTCGTGTGTGATGGAGTCAACGAATGTGGAGACTATGCAGATGAAAGCAACTGCAGTGAGTTGAAGCATGGGATGTATACTTTAAGTTAAGAATTCCATATCTCAATGAAAATATCGGTATCATTTATAGGAAGGTTTTAATTGTCATTTTGTTTTTGCAGCTTGCACTCCGAATCAGTACAAATGCAATAACAGTAACACCGAATGTTTGGACCTGATCTACGTCTGCGATGGAGAAACTGACTGTAGCGATGGATCTGATGAAAGCGACTGTGAAAGAGGTTTGTTTAGAGAGTACCTGTATTAACTGCCATTCGATAACTTAAACATGGATGCATTTTATCTACAAATCTGTCAATTTACATTCCATAAAGTAACTTGGACAGCGGCTCGGCCAAATTAAGTACAAATTCATAATTGTCAAAGTATAAAATGCCACAAATATTTAAACTTTCATCGTTGTCATCCCAGAGTGTTCCGACAGTCAGTTTCGCTGTGCCGATAAGAAGCATTGCATCCCTGGACGTCTTTACTGTGATGGGGAGCCGGACTGTGCAGACCAGAGTGATGAGACTCCAAACTGCCAATGCCGCTCAGACCAAATCAGTTGTGGCAATGGAAGCTGCCTTGGAATAGTGTTCGTGTGTGATGGAGTCAACGACTGTGGAGACTATTCAGACGAAAGCAACTGCAGTGAGTTAAAACATGGGACGTATACTTTAAATTAAGAATTCCATATCTCAATGAAAACATCTGTATCATTTATAGCGAGGTTTTAATTGACATTTGTTTTGCAGCTTGCACTCCGAATCAGTACAAATGCAATAACAGTAACTCCGAATGTTTGGACCCACTCTACGTCTGCGATGGACAAACTGACTGTAGCGATGGATCTGATGAAAGCAACTGTGAAAGAGGTTTGTTTACTGAATTACTCTGTTAACTGCCATTAGATAACCTAAACATGGATGCATTTTATATCTGTCAATTTATATTCTTAGTTTTTTTCGGTAAAGTCACGTAGGTAAAAAAATTAAAAAGTAAAATAAAATAAAAATCACGACGTTTCGGAGGCAACACAAGCTTCCGTCTTCAGGTGTTGCCTCCGAAACGTCGTGATTTTTATTTTATTTTACTTTTTAATGTTTTTACCTACGTGACTTTACCGAAAAAACCTAAGAATATGAATCATTGCAGTCACGAAAGCTTCAAGGATCTGTCAATTTACATTCCATAAAGTAACGTGTACAGCGGCTAGGACAAATTCAGCACAAATTCATAATTGTCAAAGTATAAAATATCACCAATATTTAAACTTTTATCGTTGTCATCCCAGAGTGTTCCGACAGTGAGTTCCGCTGTGCCGATAAGAAGCATTGCATCCTTGGACATCTTTACTGTGATGGGGAGCCCGACTGTGCAGACCAGAGTGATGAGACTCCAAACTGCCAATGCCGCTCAGACCAAATACGTTGTGGCAATGGAACCTGCCTTGGAATAGTGTTCGTGTGTGATGGAGTCAACGACTGTGGAGACTATGCAGATGAAAGCAACTGCAGTGAGTTGAAGCATGGGATGTATACTTTAAGTTAAGAATTCCATATCTCAATGAAAATATCGGTATCATTTATAGGAAGGTTTTAATTGTCATTTTGTTTTTGCAGCTTGCACTCCGAATCAGTACAAATGCAATAACAGTAACACCGAATGTTTGGACCTGATCTATGTCTGCGATGGAGAAACTGACTGTAGCGATGGATCTGATGAAAACGACTGTGAAAGAGGTTTGTTTAGAGAATACCTCTATTAACTGCCATTCGATAACTTAAACATGTATGCATTTTATCTAAATATCTGTCAATTTACATTCCATGAGTAACTTTGACAGCGGCTCAGCCAAATTAAGCACAAATTCATAATTGTCAAAGTATAAAACGTCACCAATATTGAACCTTTTTATCATTGTCATCCCAGAGTGTTCTGACAGTGAGTTCCTGCTGTGCCGATAAGAAGCATTGCATCCCTGGACGTCTTTACTGTGATGGGGAGCCCGACTGTGCAGACCAGAGTGATGAGACTCCAAACTGCAAATGCCGTTCAGACCAAATCCGTTGTGGCAATGGAACCTGCCTTGGAATAGTGTTCGTGTGTGATGGAGTCAACGACTGTGAAGACTATTCAGACGAAATCAACTGCAGTGAGTTAAAACATGGAATGTATACTTTTAAATATGAAAGCTATTTCTCAATGTAAAATCTGTATCATTTATTGGAAGATTTTAATTGATTTTGTGTGTTTGCAGCGTGCAATGCGAACCAGTACAAATGCAATAACAGTAACACCGAATGTTTGGACCCACTCTACGTCTGCGATGGAGAAACTGACTGTCGCGATGGATCTGATGAAAGCGACTGTGAAAGAGGTTTGTTGACAGAATAACTCTATTAACTGCCAGTAGATAACCTAAATATTAATACGTCATATCTACATATCTGGCAATTTCCATTCCTATTCTTGGGTCTTTTGTTAAAGTCATGTACAGTGAGGGAAAAAAGTATTTGATCCTCTGCTGATTTTGTACGTTTGCCCACTGACAAAGAAATTATCAGTCTATAATTTTAATGGTAGGTTTATTTGAACAGTGAGAGACAGAATAACAACAAAATCCAGAAAAACGCATGTCAAAAAATGAATCAATTGATTTGCATTTTAATGAGGGAAATAAGTATTTGACCCCCTCTCAATCAGAAAGGTTTCTGGCTCCCAGGTGTCTTTTATACAGGTAACGAGCTGAGATTAGGAGCACACTCTTAAAGGGAGTGCTCCTAATCTCAGCTTGTTACCTTTATAAAAGACACCTGTTCACAGAAGCAATCAATCAATCTGATTCCAAACTCTCCACCATGGCCAAGACCAAAGAGCTCTCCAAGGATGTCAGGGACAAGATTCTAGACCTACACAAGGCTGGAATGGGCTACAAGACCATCGCCAAGCAGCTTGGTGAGAAGGTAACAACAGTTGGTGCGATTATTCGCAAATGGAAGAAACACAAAAGAACTGTCAATCTCCCTCGGCCTGGGGCTCCATGCAAGATCTCACCTCGTGGAGTTGCAATGATCATGAGAAAGGTGAGGAATCAGCCCAGAACTACACGGGAGGATCTTGTCAATGATCTCAAGGCAGCTGGGACCATAGTCACCAAGAAAACAGTTAGTAACACACTACGCCATGAAGGACTGAAATCCTGCAGCGCCCGCAAGGTCCCCCTGCTCAAGAAAGCACATATACATGCCCGTCTGAAGTTTGCCAATGAACATCTGAATGATTCAGAGGACAACTGGGTGAAAGTGTTGTGGTCAGATGAGACCAAAATGGAGCTCTTTGGCATCAACTCAACTCGCCGTGTTTGGAGGAGGAGGAATGCTGCCTATGACCCCAAGAACACCATCCCCACCGTCAAACATGGAGGTGGAAACATTATGCTTTGGGCGTGTTTTTCTGCTAAGGGGACAGGACAACTTCACCGCATCAAAGGGACAATGGACGGGGCCATGTACCGTTATATCTTGGGTGAGAACCTTCCCTCAGCCAGGGCATTGAAAATGGGTCGTGGGTGGGTATTCCAGCATGACAATGACCCAAAACACACGGCCAAGGCAACAAAGGAGTGGCTCAAGAAGAAGTACATTAAGGTCCTGGAGTGGCCTAGCCAGTTTTCAAACCTTAATCCCATAGAAAACCTGTGGAGGGAGCTGAAGGTTCCAGTTGCCAAACGTCAGCCTCGAAACCTTAATGACTTGGAGAAGATCTGCGAAGAGGAGTGGGGCAAAATCCCTCCTGAGATGTGTGCAAACCTGGTGGCCAACTACAAGAAACATCTGACCTCTGTGATTGCCAACAAGGGTTTTGCCACCAAGTACTAAGTCATGTTTTGCAGAGGGGTCAAATACTTATTTCCCTCATTAAAATGCAAATCAATTTATAACATTTTTGACATGAGTTTTTCTGATTTTGTTGTTGTTATTCTGTCTCTCACTGTTCAAATAAACTTACCATTAAACTTATATACTGATCATTTCTTTGTCAGTGGGCAAACGTACAAAATCAGCAGGGGATCAAATACTTTTTTCCCTCACTGTAGATAGGTTCAAAGAAAATAACAAAAACTAAGACTTTTAATCGCAACACAAGCGGTCGTCTTCAGGAAAAGGGGATTAGCTTCCAAGGCAAACTGTTTATAAGGGTTTGAAATTGGCGTAGCCTGTCAGCAGCCAATGATAATGTAAGCAGCCAACCCGACGGTGATTGGTTTTTCAGCAAAGGGCTGCCAGGGAAAAATTAGCATGTTAAAGAGAGATTAGCATGTTATTGGCAAATCGCAGAGTGTGAAAGCGTACGTTTGAAATGAGCGTAAAGCACAACTAACATCGGAAGGTGGTAGGATGGGAACATCATAGCCAATTATGACTTAAACTGGTTGATAACGTCCTTCCAATGATTGCTCAGTTTGTATCCATCTTCTCGGTGGAAATTGTGTCTGTGTCTATATATATGGATGGCATCATGAACGAATCCGTTGACAGCCAGTGGGCTTGCAAATTACCTTCGTCTTAGAGAAATCTATTTCCTGTGAGCCCACCGCATTAAAACAATTGTCATGGCATTACTGGGTGATGCCCCAGGACGACAGGGGGCGGAAGAGTGCCCAGATCTAGCTGGACCGTGGCACTAAGGTTGAACCCAGGGGGGCTCGTGACTGGAGGTATGGACCCCAGGACCCCCACGAGGGGGCTGGGGGGATGACGTGTCCACAGTCCAGGTCCTTCTCGAAGGTTTGAGAAGGAGGGCGTGGCTAGGGGCGGAGAGAGCTGGGACTGACTATATAAGCCGGACCCCCGAACCCACCACCTGAAGACCTGAAGCCGTCACCCTGAAAAGGAGCCCGAAGACAGGACCCAGACCCCAGCCGGGGTCGGGTCAAAGTTAACCTCCCCAGTGTTAGGGCGCATTAGCCCGGAGGATATACCTCTGTAGAGTATCGGGTGGAAGGAGCCGTTACCCCTTCGTGTTAAGGTCATTATTATAATAAACGTGTTGCCTCTATTAAGTCTCGCTCTTCATTCTACCCACTTCAACTGGCGTCAGAAGTGGCCAAATATGTAGCTAAATTGCTATTATGGAAACACGAAAAAAACTCGTACCAGGGCTCCGGAGGAAGAGGAGGACGACTCAACAGCCCAGGGGTTGGCATCCCCGGACGGGGGAGGAGAAGTGCCGCCGGCCGAGCTGCACACTGCCCGGCCGCCCGGTAGCTCACCATCGTCGGGGATGGGTGCTTCAGGTGGCGCACTCCCGCCTCGCCGAACTCCTGCACACGGCGGCATCCATCCTCGACAAGATACATCGCGGGGAGCCAGCGGCGGAGGAGGGAGGAGTGGAGCTGCGCGGGGCTGCAGTTCCCTCCCAAGATTTTTAATTTTTCCGCTAAAAGTGGGGGAACTTCCGCCGGAAGCCTCGGTCACCTAGATATCTTCGGGGCTTCCGCCCACGATTCCCACCAATCAGGAATTGCCACATCAAATTTGGCGCGACTGGCGGAAGGGGCCGCCATCTTACCTTCAGACGGCGGATCAGTTCCCGCCAAGAATTAAGTGGAGCGGGCCGCGTTTCGTCTCTCCAACAACGCCTGCCCATCCTCAAAGAATTCTACGCAGGTGGAGGCAACTGGGCGGCCTTCCAAAGAAAATTCTTCTCCAACTGCAAGATGGCGGGGTGGGGCGGAGGCGCTGCGAGCGCTCCCGGCCGCCCTGGACAACGACGCCCTGTCTGCCCTCATCACCATCTCGCGGGTGGATCACTCTACGTTGCAGCAAGCGCTGCAAAAGATGGCGGAGATTTATGGACCACCATCGGACACGCGCCGTCGCTTTTCTGCACGGAGGAGGGGTGAATCTGAGACACCCCTTAGCCTTCCGCAGTGCATTGTTGGCTTTGATGAAGGCCGCCTTCCCCCGCATGGACCACGTGGACATTGATGCTCTGGTCCTGGAGAAGATGCTGGCGTTGGCGTGGGACCTGCGGGTAGTCATACACGCCATTGACGTTGAAGACCTGTGCTCCCTCCGGGCTGCCAAGTGCATCCAGGTGCACTTGCTCCTACAGTGGGAAGCGGGCCTTGCGAGCCTGTGCTGCGCCGGACGAGGCGCGCAGTCCGCCGGAGGAGGCGGAACCCACCCGGGCCTTCGTGTCAACCCGGGACAGGGGATGGCGAGCGGACGACCGGCCATGTCAGGATAGCTCCAAGCAGCGGAGATGGACGTCACCGCAATGGGACCGGGCCGTCACCTGCTACAACTGCGGACTGCGGGGACACGTGTCATCAGGCTGTCATCGTCCCCTCATTCATCCTTATCTCGCGGCAACCTGAGGCGAGTCGCGCCACCATACACACACGGCCCCTGCCTTCACCTCATGCATCTCTTTGTGCCGGCTCACGCGTTCGTTGTGCATCGGGTGTAGGGGGGCCAGAATGCGCTCAATCCGCCTGGCCACTCCGACCGGGTCAGTGGTCGGAGCTGGTTCATAGGGTTGTTGTCGCGACCGCGGGATCCTCGGTCGTTATCGGTTCTATTGAGGGTGTCACTTTCCGGATGCTGGTCGATACGAGAGCATCGGCGACCATCATTTCGGAACTCATTTATAACATCTTACCCGAGAAATGCCGCTCCCTATACCCCGTTAAGGTGGCATGCTTCGCCGATAACGGGGGTTCATTGGGCATCATTGGCCAAATTACTGCCCAAATTTGTATTGGTGAAATTTAATTAATGGGCCTGATTCTGGTTTCCTCATCCCTTGCCGTTCTGTGCTTACTGGGGACTGATTTCTTGGGTCAGATGCCTATCAAAATTTTGATCGACCAGGCATGCATTGAATTGCCATCCAGCCATCGGTTGACATTCCTGCCCTCCCTCACTCGGTTGTGTACTGTCTACGCCACTGTGCAGGCACTGATGTTCCGGACAGTGCGCATTCCCCCTGGAGCGCAAATGCTTGTTCCCCTTCACTTGCGCAAACCACTCGATTCGGTGGCGATGGCAGGGGGAATCCTCTTGGGTCCATAGAAAATGGCTGTGCGGGGGTTGTAGCTGGTCGGGGCACAAACCATAGTGTCCAACGACAGGGAGCCCTTCATCCAGATCTTGAATGCCGGGTTGCGGACTTCCGTCATACCACAGGGTACCGTGCTCACTCACGCGACACCGGAACTCCAAGGTGATTTTGTTGTGGGGCATGTTGGGGCCGTGCCTCGGCCGCAGCCGCACGCGGATCTGGATGGACGGTGGTTGAATTCATTTTGCTCAGAGGCTGGCAACCTGTTAGAATCCCAGAGGGAAAAATTGCAGGCGCTCTTGCAGGAATTTACTGACGTTTTTAGCAAGATTAAATTTGACATTGGCACACTAACATATTAAGCCATCATATTGACACGGGTGATGCCGCTCCCATCCGGCAGAACCCCTATCAGTTGAGTCCAACGGAAAAGGAGCATGTCCGATTGACTGTTAATGACATTCAGCCTGTGGGGGGCTCCGATCGTCCTCATTAAAAAACATGATAGCAGCTTGCGATGTGTGGATTTTCGCAAACTGAATACAATTTCGGTAGCGGACGCTTATCCCCTTCTTCAGATGGACGAATCCCTGGATGCCCTGGCGGGTGCACTTTATTTTTCCACACTGGACCTTCTGTCCGGCTTTTGGCAATTGCCTCTGGATGAGGCCTCCAAGCCCCAAACGGCCTTTTGTATGCCACAGGGCCTTTTTTAATTCAACTGGCTCCCGATTTGCCTCCACTTTGCTCCAGCGACATTCCAGTGTCTCATGGAACTGGTCCTCACTGGGCTTCAGTGAGACTCATGTCTGATATATTTGGACGATGTTATCGTCTTTAGCCGCACGTTTGAGGAACACCTAGATCGCTTGGGGGCTGTCTTTGTTAAAATGCGAGTAGCCAATCTCAAATTCAAGCCCCAAAAATGTCACCTCTTGCGGGAATCCATGCGGTACCTCGGGCACGTCAGCCAATCAAGCATTGCCACTGACCCGGAGAAGACGGCTTGCGTCCAGACGTGGCCGACCCCCACGTCGGTGGGGGAGGTGCGGAGCTTTATCGGGTTTGCATCTTATTTTCGTCGGTTTATGGCAGGGTTTGCTTCCATCACTAAGCCCCTCCACGTGCTGATGGCCAAGGGCCAAAAATTTCATTGGGGGGAGGAGGCCGCATTTGTCGCGCTTCGTGAGTCATTGGTTAATGCCCCTCCCCTATGCTACTCCAACTTTGCCACACCGTTCATCCTCGACACAGATGCCAGCAACACCGGCATTGGTTGGGTAGAATGCGTCGTTGCATATGGCAGCAGAGTGCTGTCCCTGGCGGAGGAACGCTACTGCGTTACGCGCCAGAAGCTGCTAGCCATAGTTTTTTTTTTGTGCAGCAATACTGGCCATATCTATAAGGCAGACAGTTTACGGCATGGTCTGGTCACGCGGCGCTGCAATACGCGTTGCGAGTTGACCAACCATCCGGTTAACTCTCTCGCTGGCTGGAAGTCCTTCAGGACTATTCGTTCACCGTCACCTACCGGAAGGGTACCCAGCACTTGAACGCCGATGCTTTGTTGCGGTTACTACCGAGCGACGGATGCGCATGCTTCTTGGGCTCAGGGCGCTGTAAGCAGCCAGTTGACAGCTCGCCCCCACCTCTCGCGGCGTCAGCCAAAATGGCTTCCTCAGGGGTGGGTTCCTCCAAGGTGGCTGATGAGTGTGTCGCACAGGATGCCGTTCTCAGCTTCGACCTTGCTGATTGGGGATGACTCCAAGTGGAGGACGTTTACCTTCTAAAGTTGCGCCGCTGCGCTATGCGGCCTGATGGGGATAAGGGCCGTGGGGGATTTGCATCTGTTATCTTGCGCGATAGCCTCTTGATGAAATGGGATGACAGCGCGTGTTGATACCAGATCATCGTGTCCACCGCCCTGCGGGGTAAGACTGTATGGGCTGTCCATGAGCGCCTTTTGCACTTGGGGGTACACAAGACCCTTGCCACGCTCCAGCTTGACTTCTTTTGGCCAAGCATGGCAAAGGATGTGGCTGATTTACTGCAGGGCTGTGTGCAGTGTGCGCAACGGAAACTGCCAGCTAAGCCATCTTTGCAATCGATCCAAGTGTCCCGCATTAATGAGCTTGTTGCTCTGGACATCCTTGGTCCCTTTCCTGCCACCCCCCAGGGTAATAAGTACTGCTGGTTGGGGTGGAATATTTCTCATGCTGGCCTATGGCCTGGCCGCTCCCCAACCAGTTGGCGACGGCCATCACTGACGCCTTTCTCCATGTCTATGTCTTAGACAAGGGTGCTCCTGAGTGTCTTTTGACTAGGTGGGCTAGGGTATTTATTGTTGGGATGCTGTGTGGTTGCTGTTTGTTGTGGCTGTTTGTTGAGGCACACGTGCTTGGTTGTTGTTATGTTACCTGCTTCATTCGCTTTGAGGGGGAGTTGGCAGCCGGGACGGCTGGGTTCTACGAGGGGGGGAATGATGTAGTGGCATTACTGGGTGATGCCACTGCTCCCCGGATGTAGTGCCAGCCCCAGGACGCCAGGGGGTGGAAGAGTGCCTGGATCGAGCTGGGCTGTGGCACTCAGGTTGATTCCAGGGGGGCTCGTGACCGGAGGAATTCACCCCAGGACCACCAAGAGGGGGCTGGTGGGATGACGTGTCCACAGCCCAGGTCCTTCTCGAAGGTTTGAGAAGGAGGGCGTGGCTAGGGACGGAGAGAGCCGGGTCTGACTATATAAGCCGGACCCCTGAACGGGTCCGGCTGCTGTTGTATACTTGAAGACCCAAAGCCGCCACCTGAAGACCTGAAGAGGAGCCCTGAAGAAGAACCTGAAGATGGGACCCAGACCCTAGCCGGGGTCGGGTCGAAGTTAACCTCCCCAGTGTTAGTGCGCGTTAGCCCGGAGGATATACCTGTGTAGAATATCGGGTGGAAGGAGCCGTTACCCCTTCATGTTAAGGTCATTATTGTTATAATAAACGTGTTGCCTCTATTAGGTCTCGCTCTCCATTCTACCCACTACACAATGATCAGCCATGGCCGAGGTATTGGTCCTACCGTGTTTCAGATCTGCCTTATATTCACGAACATGGTCCGAGATATGTCGAATAGTTTCCCCAATGTAACTACTGCCGCAGACACAGCTTAGTTTGTAGATGCCGAGGTATTGCATGTCAGGAATTCTATGTACTGTGTTAAATCGAATCTGGATCTTGTGTTTGCTCATGATTTTGGAAATATTTTTAGTGACCCCTGCTATGTATGGCAAGGTGATGGTTTTGAATGGGTCCTCAGATGGTTCTTTCCCAACGGTTGGGGTGATAGCTTTATGGACTGTGTAGTCTGAATATCCATTCATCTTGAGAGCTTGGTGTATGTGTTCCAGTTAACTGGCTAGGTGATGACGGTCGGAAATACATTGAGCTCCATGGTGTAGAGTTTTGATGCGGGAATTCTTCTAGGATGGATGGTGGTGGGAGTCAGGTTTTAGGTAGGCATCCATATGGGCGGCTTTCCTGTAGACAGAGTGTCCTATTGAGCTATCTGGTCTCTTTTCGATTAAAACATCCAAGAATGGTAACTTGCCATCTTTTTCCACCTCCATGGTGAATTTGATGGCTGGGTGTATGGAATTTATGTGGTTGAGGAATTGGTTCAGAGCTGGTCGGCCATGTGGCCAGATGACGAACATGTCATCTATGTACCTCTTCCACAAGGACGGACAAAGAGTGGATGCCTGGATGGCATCTGTCTCAAATCTTTCCATGAAAACATGGGCTACAACTAGAAATAAGGGAGAACCCATTGGGGTACCTTCAACTTGTTTGTAGAATGTTCCATTCCAGGTGAAGTAAGTGTTGGTGAGGCAGGCAGTGCGAGTTGAGTACAGATGAGGTGGTCTTACCAGTGAATGGTTGTAAGGTCTCAGACAGAAATTGGGCCAGTTTGTAGGTGGGTGAGTCAATGGTGGAGACGATAGGACGAAGGGGTGTCCCTTCTTCATGTACTTTTTGGGAAGCCAAACGATCTGGGTAGTCTAGCAGCAGAGGGTTTTAAGGAAAATCGCTTGGTTCGTTCGATCAAAGATGTCGAATCAGTAAATATAGGGTTTTTTTGTTATTTTCTTTGAACCTATCTACGTGACTTTACCGAAAGACCCAAGAATATGAGTTCCTGCAGTCACGAAAGCTTTAAGTCAATATTTTATTTACATTCCATTAAGTAAATTGGACAGATGTAAGGCCAAATTAAGCACACAGTCATCAATGTCAAAGAATAACATTTCACCAATATTTATCCTGTCATCGTTGTCATACCAGAGTGTTCCAGCAGTGAGTTCCGCTGTGCCGATAAGAAGCATTGCATCCCTGGACATCTTTACTGTGATGGGGAGCCCGACTGTGCAGACCATAGCGATGAGACTGCAAACTGCCAATGCCGCTCAGACCAAATCCGTTGTGGCAATGGCACCTGCCTTGGAATAGTGTTCGTTTGTGATGGAGTCAACGACTGTGAAGACTATGCAGATGAAATCAACTGCAGTGAGTGAAAACATGGGATATATACTTTAAAATACGAATGCTATATCTCAATGTGAAATCTGTATCATTGATAGGAAGATATTAATTGACATTGTTTTTTCCAGCTTGCAATCCGAACCAGTACAAATGCAATAACAGCAACACCGAATGTTTGGAGCGCCTCTTCGTCTGTGATGGAGAAACTGACTGTAGCGATGGATCTGATGAAAGCAACTGTGAAAGAGGTTTGTATACAGAATAACTCTATTAACTGCCAGTAAATAACCTAAACATGGATGCGTTTTATCTACACATTTGTCAGTTTACATTCCATAAAGTAACTTGGGACAGATGCAAGGCCAATTAAGCACATGGTCATAATGTCAAAGTATAACATTTCACCAATATGTATCCTGTCATCGTTGTCATACCAGAGTGTTCCAACAGTGAGTTCCGCTGTGCCGATAAGAAGCATTGCATCCCTGGACGTCTTTACTGTGATGGGGAGCCCGACTGTGCAGACCAGAGCGATGAGACTCCCAGCTGCCATTGCCTCCCAGAGCTGCAACTTCCTTGTGGCAATGGGACCTGCCTGGCCAAGGACAGCTTCTGTGATGGAGTCAATGACTGTGGGGACTATTCTGATGAGACCAACTGCAGTAAGTCAAATGTCTATCAAAATACAAAAAATGTATTTGAATAAAGTCTACTTCTTTGGTAAACTATTGCTAAAAATCAATATTTACACGTGCTTTTGTCTTGCAGGTTGCTCTCCAAGCCAATTCACGTGCAGGAGCAGCAGGCTGTGCGTGGACTCGATGTTTGTTTGTGATGGAGAAACGGACTGCAGTGATGGATCTGATGAAATTGGCTGTGATATAGGTACGTTTCATCACGAGTGTGCTTTTATTACTGTTGTAATTTTTTGAAAATGATGCTTCATCATGGTCATTTAACGATACGCCTCATATTACTCCCAACAAAATAAATATATGAAAGGTGTTAGAAGTAACAAACACCAATAGTTGTCTATGATGTGACAATCCAGAGTGTGCAGTGAATGAGTTCCTTTGTGCTAACAAGAAGCAATGCATCTCTGGGCGGTTTTACTGCAATGGGGAGCCGGACTGCATGGACAAGAGCGATGAGACTCCGAACTGCAAGTGCCACGCAGACCAACAGCTGCCTTGTGGTAATGGGACCTGCCTGGCAATGGAGAGCTTCTGTGATGGAGTCAACGACTGTGGAGACTACTCAGATGAGGCCAACTGCAGTGAGTTTAATGTCTTTCCAATTGAAAACAATGAACAATTAAATAAGTCGTATTACATAAACTATTCATGAATAATTGATTGTCATTTTCTGTGCAGCTTGTTCACCAATTCAGTTCACATGCAGGAGCAGCAGGCTGTGCGTGGACTCAATGTTTGTTTGTGACGGAGAAACTGACTGCAGTGATGGATCAGATGAAATTGGCTGCGATATTGGTAACCTTCATGTTGATTTTTTTTATCATCATTATAAATATATTAAAATGAAAAGTGATTTATCCTCATCATAAAGAGACAGCTCCTAATACCACCAGCAAAGTAAATAAATGGACATTCAAATTCTAAAAACAAACACCAATTGTTAATTTCTGACAACCCAGAGTGTGCAGTGCGTGAGTTCCGATGTGCTAACAAGAAGCAATGCATACCTGGATGGTTTTATTGCAATGGAGAGGCCGACTGTGCAGACCAGAGCGATGAGACTCCCAGCTGCCATTGCATCCCAGAGCTGCAAATGCCTTGTGGAAATAGGACCTGCCTGGCAATGGAGAGCTTCTGTGATGGAGTCAATGACTGTGGGGACTACTCAGATGAGGCCAATTGCAGTGAGTAAAATGTCTATCAAAATACGAAACAATGTATATGAATAATGTGTACTTCTTTATTGAACCATTGCTTACAATCAATATTTACACGTGCTTTTGTCTTGCAGCTTGCTCTCCAAGCCAATTCACGTGCAGGAGCAGCAGGTTGTGTGTGGACTTGATGTTTGTTTGTGATGGAGAAACGGACTGCAGTGATGGATCTGATGAAATTGGCTGTGATATAGGTACGTTTCATCACGAGTGTGCTTTTATTACTGTTGTAATTTTTTGAAAATTATGCTTCATCATGGTCATTTAACGATACGCCTCATATTACTCCCAACAAAATAAATATATGAAAGGTGTTAGAAGTAACAAACACCAATAGTTGTCTATGATGTGACAATCCAGAGTGTGCAGTGAATGAGTTCCTTTGTGCTAACAAGAAGCAATGCATCTCTGGGCGGTTTTACTGCAATGGGGAGCCGGACTGCATGGACAAGAGCGATGAGACTCCGAACTGCAAGTGCCACGCAGACCAACAGCTGCCTTGTGGTAATGGGACCTGCCTGGCAATGGAGAGCTTCTGTGATGGAGTCAACGACTGTGGAGACTACTCAGATGAGGCCAACTGCAGTGAGTTTAATGTCTTTCCAATTGAAAACAATGAACAATTAAATAAGTCGTATTACATAAACTATTCATGAATAATTGATTGTCATTTTCTGTGCAGCTTGTTCACCAATTCAGTTCACATGCAGGAGCAGCAGGCTGTGCGTGGACTCAATGTTTGTTTGTGACGGAGAAACTGACTGCAGTGATGGATCAGATGAAATTGGCTGCGATATTGGTAACCTTCATGTTGATTTTTTTTATCATCATTATAAATATATTAAAATGAAAAGTGATTTATCCTCATCATAAAGAGACAGCTCCTAATACCACCAGCAAAGTAAATAAATGGACATTCAAATTCTAAAAACAAACACCAATTGTTTATTTCTGACAACCCAGAGTGTGCAGTGCGTGAGTTCCGATGTGCTAACAAGAAGCAATGCATACCTGGATGGTTTTATTGCAATGGAGAGGCCGACTGTGCAGACCAGAGCGATGAGACTCCCAGCTGCCAGTGCATCCCAGAGCTGCAACTGTCTTGTGGCAATGGGACCTGCCTGGCAAAGGAGAGCTTCTGTGATGGAATCAACGACTGTGGGGACTACTCAGATGAGGCCAACTGCAGTGAGTTTAATGTCTTTCCAATTAAAAACAATGTATACCAATTAAATAAGTCTTGTTACATAAACTATTGTTTAATAATTGCTTCTCATTTTCCTTGCAGCTTGTTCACCAATTCAGTTCACATGCAGGAGCAGCAGGCTGTGCGTGGACTCGATGTTTGTTTGTGATGGAGAAACGGACTGCATTGATGGATCAGATGAAATTGGCTGCGATATCGGTAACTTTAACATCGATTGTTTTTCTTCTTAGAATGAATGTATTAAAATAAAACGTGTTTATGGTCGTCCTAAAGAAACGTAGCTCTGAGTACCACCAGAAAAGGAAATATATGGACATTAAAGTAAAAATAAACACCCATTAACTTGTATTTGTGACAATTCAGAGTGTGCAGTGCATGAGTTCCGCTGTGCTAACAAGAAGCAGTGCATACCTGGATGGTTTTGTTGCAATGGAGAGGCCGACTGTGCAGACCAGAGCGATGAGACTCCCAGCTGCCATTGCATCCCAGAGCTGCAAATGCCTTGTGGAAATAGGACCTGCCTAGCAATGGAGAGCTTCTGTGATGGAGTCAATGACTGTGGGGACTACTCAGATGAGGCCAATTGCAGTGAGTAAAATGTCTATCAAAATACGAAACAATGTATATGAATAATATGTACTTCTTTATTGAACCATTGCTTACAATCAATATTTACACGTGCTTTTGTCTTGCAGCTTGCTCTCCAAGCCAATTCACGTGCAGGAGCAGCAGGTTGTGTGTGGACTTGATGTTTGTTTGTGATGGAGAAACGGACTGCAGTGATGGATCTGATGAAATTGGCTGTGATATAGGTACGTTTCATCACGAGTGTGCTTTTATTACTGTTGTAATTTTTTGAAAATGATGCTTCATCATGGTCATTTAACGATACGCCTCATATTACTCCCAACAAAATAAATATATGAAAGGTGTTAGAAGTAACAAACACCAATAGTTGTCTATGATGTGACAATCCAGAGTGTGCAGTGAATGAGTTCCTTTGTGCTAACAAGAAGCAATGCATCTCTGGGCGGTTTTACTGCAATGGGGAGCCGGACTGCATGGACAAGAGCGATGAGACTCCGAACTGCAAGTGCCACGCAGACCAACAGCTGCCTTGTGGTAATGGGACCTGCCTGGCAATGGAGAGCTTCTGTGATGGAGTCAACGACTGTGGAGACTACTCAGATGAGGCCAACTGCAGTGAGTTTAATGTCTTTCCAATTGAAAACAATGAACAATTAAATAAGTCGTATTACATAAACTATTCATGAATAATTGATTGTCATTTTCTGTGCAGCTTGTTCACCAATTCAGTTCACATGCAGGAGCAGCAGGCTGTGCGTGGACTCAATGTTTGTTTGTGACGGAGAAACTGACTGCAGTGATGGATCAGATGAAATTGGCTGCGATATTGGTAACCTTCATGTTGATTTTTTTTATCATCATTATAAATATATTAAAATGAAAAGTGATTTATCCTCATCATAAAGAGACAGCTCCTAATACCACCAGCAAAGTAAATAAATGGACATTCAAATTCTAAAAACAAACACCAATTGTTTATTTCTGACAACCCAGAGTGTGCAGTGCGTGAGTTCCGATGTGCTAACAAGAAGCAATGCATACCTGGATGGTTTTATTGCAATGGAGAGGCCGACTGTGCAGACCAGAGCGATGAGACTCCCAGCTGCCATTGCATCCCAGAGCTGCAAATGCCTTGTGGAAATAGGACCTGCCTGGCAATGGAGAGCTTCTGTGATGGAGTCAATGACTGTGGGGACTACTCAGATGAGGCCAATTGCAGTGAGTAAAATGTCTATCAAAATACGAAACAATGTATAGGAATAATGTGTACTTCTTTATTGAACCATTGTTTACAATCAATATTTACACGTGCTTTTGTCTTGCAGCTTGCTCTCCAAGCCAATTCACGTGCAAGAGCAGCAGGCTGTGTGTGGACTCGATGTTTGTTTGTGATGGAGAAACGGACTGCAGTGATGGATCTGATGAAATTGGCTGTGATATAGGTACGTTTCATCACGAGTGTGCTTTTATTACTGTTGTAATTTTTTGAAAATGATGCTTCATCATGGTCATTTAACGATACGCCTCATATTACTCCCAACAAAATAAATATATGAAAGGTGTTAGAAGTAACAAACACCAATAGTTGTCTATGATGTGACAATCCAGAGTGTGCAGTGAATGAGTTCCTTTGTGATAACAAGAAGCAATGCATCTCTGGGCGGTTTTACTGCAATGGGGAGCCGGACTGCATGGACAAGAGCGATGAGACTCCGAACTGCAAGTGCCACGCAGACCAACAGCTGCCTTGTGGTAATGGGACCTGCCTGGCAATGGAGAGCTTCTGTGATGGAGTCAACGACTGTGGAGACTACTCAGATGAGGCCAACTGCAGTGAGTTTAATGTCTTTCCAATTGAAAACAATGAACAATTAAATAAGTCGTATTACATAAACTATTCATGAATAATTGATTGTCATTTTCTGTGCAGCTTGTTCACCAATTCAGTTCACATGCAGGAGCAGCAGGCTGTGTGTGGACTCGATGTTTGTTTGTGATGGAGAAACGGACTGCAGTGATGGATCTGATGAAATTGGCTGTGATATAGGTACGTTTCATCACGAGTGTGCTTTTATTACTGTTGTAATTTTTTGAAAATGATGCTTCATCATGGTCATTTAACGATACGCCTCATATTACTCCCAACAAAATAAATATATGAAAGGTGTTAGAAGTAACAAACACCAATAGTTGTCTATGATGTGACAATCCAGAGTGTGCAGTGAATGAGTTCCTTTGTGCTAACAAGAAGCAATGCATCTCTGGGCGGTTTTACTGCAATGGGGAGCCGGACTGCATGGACAAGAGCGATGAGACTCCGAACTGCAAGTGCCACGCAGACCAACAGCTGCCTTGTGGTAATGGGACCTGCCTGGCAATGGAGAGCTTCTGTGATGGAGTCAACGACTGTGGAGACTACTCAGATGAGGCCAACTGCAGTGAGTTTAATGTCTTTCCAATTGAAAACAATGAACAATTAAATAAGTCGTATTACATAAACTATTCATGAATAATTGATTGTCATTTTCTGTGCAGCGTGTTCACCAATTCAGTTCACATGCAGGAGCAGCAGGCTGTGCGTGGACTCAATGTTTGTTTGTGACGGAGAAACTGACTGCAGTGATGGATCAGATGAAATTGGCTGCGATATTGGTAACCTTCATGTTGATTTTTTTTATCATCATTATAAATATATTAAAATGAAAAGTGATTTATCCTCATCATAAAGAGACAGCTCCTAATACCACCAGCAAAGTAAATAAATGGACATTCAAATTCTAAAAACAAACACCAATTGTTTATTTCTGACAACCCAGAGTGTGCAGTGCGTGAGTTCCGATGTGCTAACAAGAAGCAATGCATACCTGGATGGTTTTATTGCAATGGAGAGGCCGACTGTGCAGACCAGAGCGATGAGACTCCCAGCTGCCATTGCATCCCAGAGCTGCAAATGCCTTGTGGAAATAGGACCTGCCTGGCAATGGAGAGCTTCTGTGATGGAGTCAATGACTGTGGGGACTACTCAGATGAGGCCAATTGCAGTGAGTAAAATGTCTATCAAAATACGAAACAATGTATAGGAATAATGTGTACTTCTTTATTGAACCATTGTTTACAATCAATATTTACACGTGCTTTTGTCTTGCAGCTTGCTCTCCAAGCCAATTCACGTGCAAGAGCAGCAGGCTGTGTGTGGACTCGATGTTTGTTTGTGATGGAGAAACGGACTGCAGTGATGGATCTGATGAAATTGGCTGTGATATAGGTACGTTTCATCACGAGTGTGCTTTTATTACTGTTGTAATTTTTTGAAAATGATGCTTCATCATGGTCATTTAACGATACGCCTCATATTACTCCCAACAAAATAAATATATGAAAGGTGTTAGAAGTAACAAACACCAATAGTTGTCTATGATGTGACAATCCAGAGTGTGCAGTGAATGAGTTCCTTTGTGATAACAAGAAGCAATGCATCTCTGGGCGGTTTTACTGCAATGGGGAGCCGGACTGCATGGACAAGAGCGATGAGACTCCGAACTGCAAGTGCCACGCAGACCAACAGCTGCCTTGTGGTAATGGGACCTGCCTGGCAATGGAGAGCTTCTGTGATGGAGTCAACGACTGTGGAGACTACTCAGATGAGGCCAACTGCAGTGAGTTTAATGTCTTTCCAATTGAAAACAATGAACAATTAAATAAGTCGTATTACATAAACTATTCATGAATAATTGATTGTCATTTTCTGTGCAGCTTGTTCACCAATTCAGTTCACATGCAGGAGCAGCAGGCTGTGCGTGGACTCAATGTTTGTTTGTGATGGAGAAACGGACTGCAGTGATGGATCAGATGAAATTGGCTGCGATATCGGTAACCTTCATGTTGATTTTTGTTCATTATCATTATAAATATATTAAAATGAAAAGTAATTTATCCTCATCATAAAGAGACAGCTCCTAATACCACCAGCAAAGTAAATATATGGACATTCAAATTCTAAAAACAAACACCAATTGTTTATTTCTGACAACCCAGAGTGTGCAGTGCGTGAGTTCCGCTGTGCTAACAAGAAGCAGTGCATACCTGGACGGTTTTATTGCAATGGAGAGGCCGATTGTGCAGACCAGAGCGATGAGACTCCCAGCTGCCATTGCATCCCAGAGCTGCAAATGCCTTGTGGAAATGGGACCTGCCTGGCAAAGGAGAGCTTCTGTGATGGAGTCAATGACTGTGGGGACTATTCAGATGAAGCCAATTGCAGTGAGTGAAATGTCTATCAAAATACGAAACAATGTATATGAATAATGTGTACTTCTTTATTGAACCATTGCTTACAATCAATATTTACACGTGCTTTTGTCTTGCAGCTTGCTCTCCAAGCCAATTCACGTGCAGGAGCAGCAGGCTTTGTGTGGACTTGATGTTTGTTTGTGATGGAGAAACGGACTGCAGTGATGGATCTGATGAAATTGGCTGTGATATAGGTATGTTTCATCACGAATGTGCTTTTATTACTGTTGTAATTTTTTGAAAATGATGCTTCATCATGGTCATTTAACGACGCACCTCATATTACTCCCAACAAAATAAATACATGAAAGGTTTTAGAAGTAACAAACTAACACCAATAGTTGTCTATCATATGATAACCCAGAGTGTGCAGTGAATGAGTTCCGTTGTGCTAACAAGAAGCAATGCATCTCTGGGCGATTTTACTGCAATGGGGAGCCGGACTGCATGGACAAGAGCGATGAGACTCCGAACTGCCAGTGCCACACAGAGCTGCAACTTCCCTGTGGCAATGGGACCTGCCTGGCGATGGAGAGCTTCTGTGATGGAGTCAACGACTGTGGAGACTACTCAGATGAGGCCAACTGCAGTGAGTTTAATGTCTTTCCAATTGAAAACAATTAACAATTAAATAAGACTTGTTACATAAACTATTCATGAATAATTAATTGTCATTTTCCTTGCAGCTTGTTCATCAATTCAGTTCACATGCAGGAGCAGCAGGCTGTGCGTGGACTCAATGTTTGTTTGTGACGGAGAAACAGACTGCAGTGATGGATCAGATGAAATTGGCTGCGATATTGGTAACCTTCATGTTGATTTTTTTTATCACCATTATAAATATATTAAAATGAAAGTATTTTCCTTTTCATTTCTTTTTTTTTCAGTTTCATGTATTGGTATAGCCCTGTGAGCCATTCGGCTCTTGAATCTGGTGCAACCGCAACAAACAAAAAAAACATGAACAAGAAAACATCTTTAAGTGACTATGTGCCAGCAGAAAAATCCAGGAAAAAAGCTGCAAAGTCTTCCAGAAAAAAAGCACCATACACCAACGCTGTGCAAAAATCCCAGTGGGATGCAAGTCAAACAACCACAAGACAACTTAGATTAAAGCCATCATTCTAACTCCGTACTACAACAAGCAAACCAAAGTTTTTTGGTTTGGCCATGTCACCAAAACAAAGCCATAAGCAATGTAACAGTGATCATAGGAACTGTGATCGAAATTTCACAATAAACGACATAAACAACATGTACCACCAAACGCTGTAGCCATAGCTGGCTGCATGAGTCACTCCACAACAGCAGGAGCATCAGTAGGAGTATCAACATTTTTCAAATGCACCTTTAAAGATCAGCACACTAAATCAAAACACAAGATCATACGTTGCAGCAGTCATCCGGAATGAAAGCATTTGATTTTAGGCCACTGAATAGCAGTAGCAGCTAGGGGTGTACAACTCCTCTAGAGCAGTTTTGAGTGAAGATCTCACAGGTAGTGATTCAAGTTGCAGTTAATTGGCAATTGCATTCCAGACCCTGGGGGCCTCAATAGCAAAGGCCCTTCCTCCAGTATTTGTACGGCAATAAGGAATGTGAAGCTGGTAAATGAGCGAAGACCTTAGGTCACATTGTTCTTCGAAACAGAGAGGAGATCCAGCAGGTAGTCTGAGATTTTTTTGTAAGTACATCGTGAATAAATAAGATCTGGTGCACAAGCCGTCGAACATTAAGAGATGTTAAGTTTGACCCAATGTAGAGATCACAGTGGTGAGTCCTATATGGGCAGTTCAATTCGAAACTTACGGCCGAGTGATAAATTGAGTCAAGCTTCCTCAGTGCAGTGCTTGCGGCTGATTTGTATACGATGTCACAGTAATCAAGTAGAGGCAGTATGGTAGCTTTTATCAATTCCAAACGGAACATAGGGGGGAAGCAGTGCTTGTGTAGATACAGAAAACCAATTTTTATTTTTGTCTTTTAACCAATATAATCAATGTGATCTTCAAAATTAAGTTTTGAATCCAGGATGACCCCAAGATACTTATAGATCTTGACTTGCTCTATTTGATAATTATTTAAGGAATGTAATGGGGGGAAAATAAATTCCTGCTTTAGTCCTGGTGAGAAGCATAGCACCTTGGTTTTGGAGGAATTCAGGACTAGTTTAAGAGCAACTAGCTGATGTTGTAGTTTGTGGAAATCACCCTGGAGCTTAGCAATCACGTCATCCGGAGAGCGGCCAGCAGTAATCAGTATTGTGTCATCTGCAAAAAGAGTTACCCTGGAATGATCCAGGTCAGTGCCCAAGTCATTGACATAAAGAGAGAGCAAGAGGCGGCCGAGGATGGAACCCTGTGAGGTAGGACAGTTGTTTCAGAACATTACTTTCGTGAATTGGCTGGAAACTAAATTCGTTTAATGTTTGGACAGGGGTGTAGGAATTTGCATGGGCAGAGGTGACTCCCAATACATTATCAAAAAGGTTTCCAGCTTCAGAAAAATGAAGGTTAAAATTGTCTACTATTTTTTTGGGCTCTGAAAAATATTCCCCGTTTCGGTTAAGCTCAACGGGCAGATGATCTGTTTGGATGCCTTTTCGATACATTTGATTGTTTTCCAGAAGATCCTGGCATTTCCAGGTGATTCCAGGAGAGTGGAGGAAAAGTAGGCATTTTTTGCATGCTGTATTTTTTTTACACATCTATTCCTTAAAATCCTGTATTCTAGCCGGTCATTGACCAAATTATTTTTCTGAGCACATGCCCAAGCCTTGTCCCTAGTTTTCATGAGCTGAGTAATCAGAGGATCAAACCATGGTGGGCGGTTGGCTCCAGTTTTAAATCTAACCAACGGAGCATGTTTGTTAATAATTTGGAGAAACGTGTACCTGAAGGTCTCCCAAGCTGTAGTCAGGTTGGGGATATCACAGACCTCGTCAATATCCGCGTGAAGCACATCATTAGTAAATGCCTGAGAGCTGAAGTGTATCATGAAGTGCTTCTCAACCAATTTAGGGGGGGGGGGGGGGCTTTGGGTCTGGCTGATGATCTCACCCCAAATATGAAGGAGTGATCACTAAGGTTATTACCCAGAACACCAGTCAGTGCGAAATTGTGAGGGGCATTCGTCAATAGGATGTCAAGCAGAGATTACTGTCCTGGCTTTTTAGGTTGGGTCTTGTGGGGACATTTATTAATTGAAACAGGTTAAATTCATCTGCAAAATGTGTGGCCACGGCCGGCGGGTTTAGCCAATTCCAATTTAGATCACACACTAACACTATTACACCTTTAGGGAGGCCCCCAAGAAGCTCTCCCAATGCAGACGCAGCTTCAACATCCTTCCCACTAGGCGGTCTATAGCAGCACACTACCAATATCTGTTGATTATTTGGGAGAGTTATTCTAAGAGCCAGACCTTCAAAGCAACATTTTTTTTTAAACAAGGAGTGAGCTGGTGAACAGTATTACAAACATAGATGGCAACTCCACCTCCTTTAGATCCTCGGTCAAGCCGAAAAGGGTTGTATTTGTCAATCGTAATCTGCAAGTCATTGACGGCCGGAGTGAGAAATGTTTCTGTTAGGCAAAAAATGTATGGGTCCAGATTTGCCACTTCTAGTTTTAGTTGACTTAATTTAATCACAAGCCCTCTGATATTGATGTGTAGAACACCGACACCTTTTCTGCCAGAAAAATCTAAATAATGATACGAGTTCTTTACATTTGGGCCAGGATGAAGCACAATACCTCCAAAAAATAGGAAAAGTTGAATTAATAGTTTGCACAGGTATTTTCTGTGAAAGGACGAAGAGCGGCGAACCTTAGACAAATAGCAGCTGCTCGCAGATGGTGATATTTTTAAGAGCAGAATGAAGTTTGGAAGGAGTGCTGGTGAAGTTATGGGACAAAGATAGGGTTTAAAAGGATACAATAATGGAGTGTAGAAGTGTCTATAAGCTGTTTCATTAGCAGGTGTAGTGGCAAATTGAGCAACAAGTATGGACGCAAAGTAACGAGCGTAGCCGTTTGTAGAGTTGAGTGTGGCACTAGATGTGGCCAGGAGGGACATCAGTAGGATACACACCAGGAGAATTGCCATCTTTAAAATATCAGGGTTACACACAGTTTAACACCGAGGCAAAAAACTAAAATATATACTTGTAGGCCGAGCGCGAGAAAACGTCTTGCTGCATTCGTCACACATGTACGACCGTGGCAATGTTGCCTTGGCAGGAACATTGCTTGGGGTCCATGGCAATGTTTCCTTAACAGGAACACAGTTAACCAGACAACGTATAATAAACATCACCACTGGGAAGACAAAGGCGGCCAGGCGTGGTGCTGGCCACCCACCCCCTCGTGCGCTGTGCCGGCCTTTATAGGTGCTCTCTAACAGCACATGCAACCTGCAGTCTGTTAAGGCGATACGGTGAATGTCTCTGTTTTTGCCTACACGTGTTCCATGTGTGTGTACGCGTATAGCCGACGTTTCGCTGGAGGCTACAGCCAGCATATTAACGAGACCTCACTCAGGCTGCGCCACGTGCATTATTAACTAGGCCTCACTCAGGCTGCGCCACGTGCGCGATTAACTAGGCCTCACTCAGGCTGCGCCACGTGCATTATTAACTAGGCCTCACTCAGGCTGCGCCACGTGCGCGATTAACTAGGCCTCACTCAGGCTGCGCCACGTGCATTATTAACTAGGCCTCACTCAGGCGGCGCCACGTGCGCGATTAACTAGGCCTCACTCAGGCGGCGCCATGTTCATTATTAACTAAGCCTCACTCAGGTGGCGCCACGTGCACGATTAACTAGGCCTCACTCAGGCTGCGCCACGTGCGCGATTAACAAGGTCTCACTCAGGCTGCGCCACGTGCATTATTAACTAGGCCTCACTCAGGCTGCGCCACGTGCGCGATTAACTAGGTCTCACTCAGGCTGCGCCACGTGCATTATTAACTAGGCCTTACTCAGGCGGCGCCACGTGCGCGATTAACTAGGTCTCACTCAGGCTGTGTCATGTGCATTATTAACTAGGCCTTACTCAGGCTGCGCCATGTGCATTATTAACTAGGCCTCACTCAGGCTGCGCCACGTGCGCGATTAACTAGGCCTCACTCAGGCGGCGCCACGTGCATTATTAACTAGGCCTCACTCAGGCTGTGTCATGTGCACTATTAACTAGGCCTCACTCAGGCTGCGCCACGTGCACGGTTAACTAACACACCCAGCTCACTTACACTCACACAGCTCACTCACACACGGTGATTTATCCTCATCATGAAGACACACAGCTCCTAATACCACCAGCAAAGTAAATTAATGGGCATTCAAAGTCTAAAACAAACACCAATTTTTTTTATTTCTGACAACCCAGAGTGTGCAGTGAATGAGTTCAGCTGTGCTAACAAGAAGCAGTGCATACCTGGATGGTTTTATTGCAATGGAGAGGCCGACTGTGCAGACCAGAGCGATGAGACTCCCAGCTGCCAGTGCCTCCCAGAGCTGCAACTTCCTTGTGGCAATGGGACCTGCCTGGCAAAGGAGAGCTTCTGTGATGGAGTCAACGACTGTGGAGACTACTCTGATGAGGCCAACTGCAGTGAGTTTATTGTCTTTCCAATTGAAAACGATGTATACCACTTAAATAAGTCTTGTTACATAAACTATTGTTTAATAATTGCTTCTCATTTTCCTTGCAGCTTGTTCACCAATTCAGTTCACATGCAGGAGCAGCAGGCTGTGCGTGAACTCGATGTTTGTTTGTGATGGAGAAACGGACTGCATTGATGGATCAGATGAAATTGGCTGCGATATCGGTAACTTTAACATCGATTGTTTTTCTTCTTAGAATTAATGTATTAAAATGAAACGTGTTTATGTTCGTCCTAAAGAAACGTAGCTCTGAGTACCATCAGAAAAGGATATATATGGACATTAAAAGTAAAAAAAACACCCATGGACTAAAAAATGTAACCCATTGACTATTGTGAATATTCAGAGTGTGCAGTGCGTGAGTTCCGCTGTGCTAACAAAAAGCAGTGCATACCTGGATGGTTTTATTGCAATGGAGAGGCCGACTGTGCAGACCAGAGCGATGAGACTCCCAGCTGCCATTGCCTCCCAGAGCTGCAACTTACTTGTGGCAATGGGACCTGCCTGGCAAAGGAGAGCTTCTGTGATGGAGTCAATGACTGTGGAGACTACTCTGATGAGACCAACTGTAGTGAGTCAAATGTCTATCAAAATACAAAAAATGTATTTGAATATAGTCTACTTCTTTGGTAAACTATTGCTAAAAATCAATATTTACACGTGCTTTTGTCTTGCAGCTTGTTCTCCAAGCCAATTCACGTGCAGGAGCAGCAGGCTGTGTGTGGACTTGATGTTTGTTTGTGATGGAGAAACGGACTGCAGTGATGGATCTGATGAAATTGGCTGTGATATAGGTTCGTTTCATCACGAGTGTGCTTTTATTACTGTTGTAATTTTTTTGAAAATGATGCTTCATCATGGTCATTTAACGATACGCCTCATATTACTCCCAACAAAATAAATATATGAAAGGTTTTAGAAGTAACAAACACCAATAGTTGTCTATGATGTGACAATCCAGAGTGTGCAGTGAATGAGTTCCTTTGTGCTAACAAGAAGCAATGCATCTCTGGGCGGTTTTACTGCAATGGGGAGCTGGACTGCATGGACAAGAGCGATGAGACTCCGAACTGCAAGTGCCACGCAGACCAACAGCTGCCTTGTGGCAATGGGACCTGCCTGGCAAAGGAGAGCTTCTGTGATGGAGTCAACGACTGTGGAGACTACTCAGATGAGGCCAACTGCAGTGAGTTTAATGTCTTTCCCATTGAAAACAATGAACAATTAAATAAGTCGTATTACATAAACTATTCATGAATAATTGATTGTCATTTTCTGTGCAGCTTGTTCACCAATTCAGTTCACATGTAGGAGCAGCAGGCTGTGCGTGGACTCAATGTTTGTTTGTGATGGAGAAACGGACTGCAGTGATGGATCAGATGAAATTGGCTGCAATATCGGTAACCTTCATGTTGAATTTTTTTTATCATTATAAATATATTAAAATGAAAATTGTATTTCATATCATTTCATATTTTTTCAGTTTTATATATTTGGAATAGCCCTGTGAGCCATTCAGCTCTTGAATTGGGTGCAAGCGCAACAAACAAAAAAACAAAAACATGAACAAGAAATAATCTTAAAGTGACTATGCGCAAACAGAAAAATCCAAGAAAAAACTGCTAAGTCTTCCAGAAAAAAAACACCATACACCCACGCTGTGCAATAATCCCAGTGGGATGCAAGTCAAACAACCACAAGACATCTTAGATTAAAGCCATCATTCTAACTCTGTACTACAACAAACAAACATGGCCAAACCAAAAAACTTTTCGAAATCACCAAAATAAAGCCCTAAGCAATGTAACAGTGATCATAGGTACTGTGACCGAAATTTTACAATAAACGACATAAACAACATGTACCACCAAACCCTGTAGCCATAGCTGGTTGCATGAGCCACTCCACAACAGCAGTAGCATCAATAGAAGTGTAATGCGGGCGTAAATGGGCAGAGCGGATATGACGATCCAAGAGGGAGGAGTCAGGGTGACGTGGGGGAGAAGTTATAGCGGGGAGACAGGAAGCTATCTGGGGGAGTCGGGGGAGTGAAGGGTGGTGAACACGTTGGGTGGTCGCCGTGCCTCAGCCTGGTGGCTGAGGGGCTCATGACGGCGCCAGCCAGCGGGGTGGAAGAGAGAGTGGAGGATTGAGGTAGGAAGTGGCGAGATAGCCACAGAGGCCACGAAGGGCTGAGGTAGGAAATGGCGAGATAGCCACAGAGGCTACGAAGGGCTGAGGTAGGAAATGGCGAGATAGCCATAGAGGCCACGAAGGGCTGACATTGGGAGGTGGCGAGATCGCCACGCACGGAGGAACAGGGAGCAGCGATGGAGCTGCTGGGGGAGCAGCCAGAGGGCTGTACCAAGAGCCTGCAGCGGAGCTGCAGGAGCGTGGAAGGCTACGGGAGCGAAGGCAGATGTGGGGCTGCCAGGGAGAGAGTCTCAGGAGGAGTGCCGTGTGGGAAGGAGAACGCGAACCCCAAATAAAGGACACGGAGTCAGCAAGAAGTGTCTTGAGTCCTTTTATTACACTGGAGTCAGAAGTGAAACGGCATCTCAAAACAACTGAGAGAAAGAAGAAAAAAAAGAATATTCCTGCTACATCATCCGACGACGACGACCTTCCTCAGACGGTGGACCTGCCTGCGATGGAAGAGGAGATCCGTTCTGGAACGAGTACGGGTCCGGGTGAGCAAGGTGTCGCCGCGTCGGTGGACCTGTCTGTGCCGGAGGACGCCAACTTACGATGGAGACAGATGGCGATGCAGATGGGGACCTTGAAAATCGTGCTGGCGCAACTGTGTGAGTTCACCACGCCGAGGACGACGTCGGGGAGGCCCGGTGGTGATCCGCAGGCCTCTGCCTTTCCTGCGCTGCCAGCGCCATTGCCACGTGGCACGAAGACGCCATCTTGGGCGTGGCAGGGGAGAAACGGCGGGAAGCCGCCATCTTGTCTTCACCGCGGCGGGAGGACGCCGCCATCTTCAACATCGCGGCGGAGAGGCAGCCTTGCGCTGCCATCTGGAGGTGCCGCGGGGTGAGCAGCCTGCTGTGAGCTGCTGTTTTTCGAGGGGGTGCTGCGAGGAGAAGACGCCGATGCTGCAGCTGCTGGGGCGGGAGCTTCCCGTCCTGGCTCGGGTGCGTGACAACGGAGCCGTCAAGTCGCCGAACGAGTTCTGCGAGGCGTCTCAAGTTGCCACCCTGCCGTCCTCTTCTTGCTGCAGCCCCGGGCGAGTCATAACGATACGCACCCGGCCTTAACACACACCTCACTCATCTTTTGAGGGCCGGGGGGGGCTATTTTGGTTTTCTCTTATGACTCGATTGTGCGGAGCGCGGTTCGGACTGTGTGTATGTGTGTGTAATAACGATGAACGCGCTATCTGCTTGTTGCTTGGTGTCAATATAAGTGTGTGCGTGTGTTGAGAATGGACGGAGAGTCTGCTGTATTTGCTGAGTGTCAAATTGTGTGTGTGCGCTGCTGCGTGGAGTTCTTATCTTGATGGTGAAGTTAATTATTAACTTGGGAGCGTCGGGTATCTTGCGCTGTATTATTTGTGGGTTACCTTGTGCGATGGGCTTAATTGGAAAAAAATATATATATATATTTTTTTTGGTGTATTGTGCTGCGAGGTGCTGTGTGCGATGCGATTGTTGCAAGAGAGAAAATAATTGTGTTGTTGCTGCAAAGTTACGACAGGATTAATGGTGTGTTGGTTGCCTGCAGATCTGCTTGCTATTGTGTTTAAATGTACGTGTGTGATCGCAATATGCTGATTGTATGTGCTGTTATATCGTTCTGTATGGTTATGGGGTGCGATGCAGTGGTTGATTATTGGAATTGGGATTGTTATTATATTGTGCGTACCTGTTGGAAATTGGTAACAAATTCGAGGGGGACCCAAATATTTGGTTGTATGGTTGTTGTGCACACGAGATTGCGTGTATATTATAGAGGGGGACCCTAAAATTTGGTTGTATGGGTGTTGTGCACACGAGATTGCGTGTATATTATAGAGGGGGACCTAAACATTGGTTGTATGGGTGTTGTGCACACGAGATTTCGTGTATATTATGGGTAATTGCGCTTTTTGAGAGAGAGAGCGCGCTTTGAGGGTGCGTGATGACGCCGTTGTGGGTGTCTCAAAGGTTAATGCTAATGGGACCGTAAATTGGCGCCAAGTGGCGTCGCGTATTCGGTTGATCGCATGCAGCCACGAGTTGCTTGGCGAGTTGGGTTGTGTAACCAATGTGGTTGGTAAAATATTGGTTAAAAATTCCACGATATGACAGCTGTGCGCAGCAAGCTGGGGCTGTGCGTCTATCGTTGGTGGGGTTGTTATAACGTGACGGGGGATGCGTCTTGTGACCCCCAGCTAAGGGAAGCTGGGGTGCACGAATGGAGAAAACTGGCCACGTGTTCGCACGCTGGGCCGCCATTTTGCGCGCACGCGGGGTATGGCGACGATGCGCTTTGCGGAAAGGGCCGCCATTTTGAGTGCGCGCGAGATATTGCGCGAACGCGCTGGGCGAAGGGGGACGCCATTTTGAGCGCGCGGGAAAAACCGCGGTGGGGCAAGTATTCCATCTGTTATGCCTGCCATTGTTGATTGGGTGATGCACGAGTTGTGGTCACATCGGCCTATGGCTGATGGCTGACCTGACAGCCCGGAGGCGAAACCTCCGTGGTATGTCTTAACCTAATGGGCCATGTGCTCATATGGCTCGGGGAGTCATGGTTCAGTTGTGCGGTGGCAGACTGAACCTGGTGTGCCGGGGGCTCACGGGATCTGGGTTAGGGTGTTATTGTCTCTATAAGAGAACATTGCCCCGTGGGGGGAGTACATGGGGTCTGGCATTGCTGGGGGATGAACCTTCCCTGGGCTATAAAGCATCGGACTATACGAGGCTGGTGTGTGTCCATCTCTGATGGGATAGTAAGGGAGGAGCGTGGCCGAGTTGCTGCTCATCCCCGAAATTGCACTAGCTGAGAGTATGGTCAGTGGATGTTGCTGTGGGTTGACGACCACGGTGGGGGTTAGGGCGAGTTAAACGTTACCGCTGGGGAGCGTGGCTCTCTCCACGCGAGGGTGTGTGATTAGGTGTTTTGTTGGGTTGCTGAGAGTGACCGTAGGTACATGCTGTGTACGTGCGATGTCTGTGCTGGTCCTCAAGGGAGGACTGCTGGTGGGTAAGAGCAGGAAATTTTGTTGTTGTTGTTGTCACGTGTAAATAATATTGTTGTTAAAAGGTAAATACTGGGGCATCCATTGCGTTATTTTGGGTATTTATGGGGAGTTTTTTTAAGCGGGCCGGATTTACATCATCTCCACTACCCTGAGGCCGGGTGGCTGTCGTGTACGACATGTGGATGTGCGTTGTTGTGCTGTGCCTCAGGGGATTGGATTCTCCTTCTCGTCACAGATTCTTCAGCTCCCGTCGCACTGGGTGTTACCTGGTGTGCTAGCTGGATGAAGACTTGAAGGAGTGGTTGAGCGCCCGTTCGTCATTCCTGCTCTACCACTTTCTCTTTGACGTTGGACTTGAGCCGAGCGGATGGAACTGCAACATGGACACGCACTAAAACATCACATTTCTGGGTTGTGCGCGTTGGCCGTTCTTGCGTGTCAGTTGCCGTTGTTGTTCATTGTGCCATTCTTATTCTTGTTGTTGTTGCGCGGAGGACAGGCCGGTGTTCTGTTCCAGTTCCTGATACCTCCCCTTTCGTTGCTTGTGTTGTTGTTATAATCTCCGTTGTGTCTGGGGGACTCCTGATTGTGATGCCTTCGCCCGCATTATTTTGTTCTGTTTCAGCCGAGGACGGCTGGAATTTTCTCTACGGGGGAGGGTAGTGTAATGCGGGCGTAAATGGGCAGGGCGGATATGACGATCCAAGAGGGAGGAGTCAGGGTGACGTGGGGGAGAAGTTATAGCGGGGAGACAGGAAGCTATCTGAGGGAGTCGGGGGAGTGAAGGGTGGTGAACACGTTGGGTGGTCGCCGTGCCTCAGCCTGGTGGCTGAGGGGCTCATGACGGCGCCAGCCAGCGGGGTGGAAGAGAGAGTGGAGGATTGAGGTAGGAAGTGGCGAGATAGCCACAGAGGCCACGAAGGGCTGAGGTAGGAAATGGCGAGATAGCCACAGAGGCCACGAAGGGCTGAGGTAGGAAATGGCGAGATAGCCATAGAGGCCACGAAGGGCTGACATTGGGAGGTGGCGAGATCGCCACGCACGGAGGAACAGGGAGCAGCGATGGAGCTGCTGGGGGAGCAGCCAGAGGGCTGTACCAAGAGCCTGCAGCGGAGCTGCAGGAGCGTGGAAGGCTACGGGAGCGAAGGCAGATGTGGGGCTGCCAGGGAGAGAGTCTCAGGAGGAGTGCCGTGTGGGAAGGAGAACGCG